CCTGCCACCAGGTTTCTGACTTGTTTGGGGTGCTGATCATTTGTCTTTCTGACAAAGCTGCCACTATTGGCCTGAGTACTTTTTTTTTCTGGTGTTTTTGGGACAGAATCTCACTATGCAGCCCACACAGGCCTCTAACTCCTGATCCTCTTGCCTCTGCCTCCTGCGTGCTGGGATTCCACATGGGGGGGTCTCCATGTCTCATTTTGGTCTGGGCTTTTTTTTATTTTAATATTTTATTATTTTTATGTGCTAGTTGCCTTTTTTTTTTTTTTGATCTTTTTTTGTTATTTTGTCTTTTTTTTTTTTTTTCTTTTCCAGAGCTGAGGACTGAATCCAGGGCCTTGAGCTTGAGCTTGCTAGGCAAGCGCTCTACCACTGAGCTAAATCCCCAACACCATTTTTATTTTATTTGTATGAGTGTATTGCCTACACGTGTGTGAGTGCACCTGCGTCTTGCCGTGGAGGTCAGAAGAGGGCTTCGGATTCCCCTGGAACTGGAGTTAAGGACGGTTCCTAGCTGCCATGTGGGTGCTGGGAATCGAACCAAGGTCCTCTGCAAGAGCAGTCAATGCTCTTAATTGCTGAGCCATCTCTCCAGCCCCTGGTCTGGGCTTTTGAACTTGCTGTTCTCTCTGCCTGGGACCCTCTCCCCACTTTTACTCATCAGGGATCTCTCTGCCTCTTTCAAGAAGTCTTGCCTGGTACAGGCCCCCGCTGGGCTGGGGAACCCTTCCTCTGAGCCTTTATCTTCCTATCTACCACCCTGTGTCCTCACTACCCGTATCTTGTCTGTTTTCCCTACCAGTCTGTGAACTGGAAGGTTCTCTCTCTTGTCACCAGCAAACCCCCAGAGCTGAGTACAGGGCCTGCTCCTGCCATCAGCCCATTCCTGCATGGAGCTGCCCAGAGTGATTTAACCCCAGGTCATGTGGACCTGAAACATCAAAGCCAGTAGGATGGTAGTTCCAAAACCCAATCCTCTTCCTTCCTTCCCGCTTGGCAAACAGGACCACTTGGGTTCTCTGTTAGCTACCTAATGATGCGTGAGTACAGCCAAACATATGACCACTAGACAGGGCCTTGCTTATTGCCCCACACTGCCGGGCTGGTTGCATTGGCAGTTCTGCTGATCTTGCCTGGGCTCTCACATATCAGGGTGGACTGAAGCTAGAACTTCTGAAAACCTTGGCTCTGCATTTTGTAGGGTACATCCTTGCACTGCAGTCCCTCATGAACGACAGGAGTGACGGAGGTCAACCCAATGACTCTGTAGCTGAACTTCTTGTATTAGTTTTCTTTCTGTTACTGTGATAAAGTGCCTGACAAAAGCAACTTAAGGGACAAAGAGTTTCTTCTGGTTTTCAGTTCCTGCGGGACATAGCTGATTATGATCATGGCTGTAGGAGCATGGGGGTGAGCCAGTCACACTGCACAGCAGTCAGGGAGCAGAGAGAGAACAGGAAGTGGGGCTGGGCTGTAAAACCTCAAGACAGTGTGACTCACTTCTTCAGTGAAGCTCCCCCTGCTAAAGGTTCCATAACCTCCCCAAACAGCCCCACCAGCGGGGGACTGGGTGTTCAAATGCATGAACCTATGGCAGATTGTTCACATTCCTACCACAACTCTCCTATATAAATTTTTTGGTAAAATAACTGGAGACACAGCTCAAGGGTAGAGCTCTTGCCTTGCATGCTTGAGGCCCTGGGTTTGATTCCCCAGCACTGAAATTTTTTTATTTTGTTAAATATATAGAATCTGAAATACACATAACCATTTCTAAGTGTGTAGCTGAGAAGTATTAATTTGTAACATTGTGGGTCCATCACCACCATCTAGTCCCTCTCCGTAACTTTTGTTGTTTTTTTTTCTGGTGCTGGAGCTAGAACCCAAACATTTACAGCTGCACCCCAACCCTCCCTAATGCTTCAGCTGGTGTAACTGACACTCTGTCCCCACTAAACAGCATCTTCCAATTCCTATTCCCACTTCAGGTTCTGATGACCACCTTCCATCATTATGTTTTTGACCAGTAGGACCATACCGTATCTTTTTTTTTTTTTTGTCTTTTTTGAAACAAGGTCTCCCTGTAGCTCCAGCTGTCCTGGAACTCACTATGTAGACCAGGCTGGCCGTGAACTCACAGAGATCTACCTGCCTCTGCCTCCCGAGTGCTGGGATTAAAGGCCCCGCCTATACCATGTCTTTTAATGATTTTTTTTTTTACTTAGTGTAATGTTCTCTGTATCATAATTTCCTTCTTTTTCTAAGGCTAAATAATATTCCAAACATAAAAGCATATATACAGCATATTTTGCTTATCCATCTGCCAGTGAACCCTTGATCTCCTTCCATGTTTTAGCCATCCCGAAGAGTGCTGTTATAGTGAATGTTTGTGCTCTGTTGTCCTTTTAGTTGCTTAAAAATTTTTTGATTTATTTTTACTTTATGCGTATGAGTGTTTTGCCTGCATGTGTGTAAATGCACTTCTGTTGTGCAATGCTCAAGGAGGCCAGAAGAGGGTGTTGGAGCCTCTGACACTGGAGTTATAGATAGTTGTTAACTGCCATGTGTGCTGGGAATTGAACCCAGGTCCTCTGGAAGAGCAGCCAGTGCTCTTAACCACTGAGCCATCTCTCCAGTTCCCCTTTTAGTTTTGGGGGGTATATATGCCTAAAAGTAGAATTGCTATATCACATGGTCATTCTATTTGAACTGCTTGAGTAATTGTCATGCTGGACGTTTTATACTCTCACCAACAGTGTGCAGGGCTCTGGACAGCTCCACTGCCCACCTACGTTTGTTATTCTGTATTACTTTTACTGTAGCCATTATAGTGGGTATGAAGTGACAACTCATTATAGTTCTGTGTGTATGTGTGTGTGATGTATGCGTGTTGGTGTATGTGTGTCTGGGGGTATGCATTCATTCCTGTGTGGTGTGGTGTGTGTGTATGTGTGTAGAGGCCAAAGGCCAAAGTCTGGTGTCTTCCTCTATTGTTCTCTCCCTTATTTATTTTATTTTATTTCTTATTTTTCTTTTATATGTATTAGTGTATGGCCTGCGTGTGTATAAGCATACCTGTGTCATGCAGTGCCTGTGGAGGTCAGAAAAAGGCGTTGGATTCTTCTGGAACTGGAGTCATGGATGGTTGCTAGCCACCATGTGGGTGTTGGGAACTGAATCCAGATCTTCTGTAAGAGCAGCCAGTGCTCTTAACCTCTGGGACATCTCTTCAACCCCTCCCCCTTATTTTTTGAGGCAAGGGTCTCTCACTGAAACTGGAACTCACCACTTTAGCGAGACTGGCCAGCACCCCTTCAGTACCTGCTGTCTCTGTGCCCCTAGCACTGGGGTCATGGGTCCTACCGCTGCACCCACCTTTCTTAAGTTTGTGCTGGGGATTGGAACTCAGTCCTCTTGTTTGCACAGGAGCTCTGCACCTGCTGAGCATCTCTGCAGTGTCTCATTTTGTTTAAGTTTGCGTATCTCTAGTGATTGATGATTTAATGGTCATCTCATTCTCTTTTTAAAGAAACTTAAAAAAAATGCTTATTATTTTTATTTTATGTGTATAAGTGTATTACTTGCATGTATGTGCATGTACCTGTGTCATGCAATGCCGCGGAGGTCAGAAGAGGGCTTCAAATTTCTCTGGAACTGGAGTTAAGGACGGTTCATAGCCGCCATGTTGGTGCTGGGAATCGAACCCAGGTCCTCTGCAAGAGCAGTCAGTGCTCTTAACTGCCGAGCCATCTCTCCAGCCCTGAAAATTAGAAAGTTTTTAATAAAATAAAAAGTAGTTTCTGTGTCCAGTCATGTTCAGTTCCCTCCACACTCTTGGTCAATGGTCAATGATTTCCATTGTACTTACTAATCATATCCCATTGGCTATAGCATGTCACACTCTGACCCCATCCCCAGTGAGATGCCATTACCATGACACAGCAAAGGGCTTGGACAGTAGATGGGTGTGGAGTTTGGCTGTGTTTGTGACCAACTTCCAAGTTCAATGACCTCAGTGACTGACTGTGAATCCTATGGCAGCAGAGGTGCCCTGAGTTCTTCAGCTTTAAAAAAAAATCATTTTTATTTTGTGTATATGAGTGTCTTCTTGCACGTATGTAAGTGTACCATGTGTGCATTTCACACAGAGGTCAAAAGAGGGATCCCCTGGAACTGGAGTTACAGATGGTTGTCAACCCCCATGTGGGTGGTGGGAATGGAATCTGGGCCCTCTGCAAGAGCAGTTAGTGCCTTTAACTGATGAGCCATCTCTCCAGCCCTGTTACTGCATCTTAAAACACACATGGGAAGCCACGTGTTGTGGCATATGCCTTTAAACCTGGCACTTGGGCGGTAGAGGCAAGCAGATCTCTGCTAGATTGAAGCCAGCCTGGTCTACATAACAAGTTCCAGGCCAGCTGAAGCTACAGGGAGACCCTGTCTCAAAAAGACCAAAAAAAACAAACAAACAAACAAAAAACCACGCACACACACGGGGCTAGGGATGTAGGGATGTGGTTCAGTTCCCTGCACTGCGTAAACCAGGTGTAATGTGATCCCAGCACTTGGGAAGTAGAGGCAGGAGGATCAGAAGTTCAGGGTCATCCTCTGCTACATAGTGAGTTCAAGGCCAGCTTGGGCTATAGGATACCTGGAAACACAAACACACACACATGTTTTAAAAGCAAATCCTAATGCAGAAACACTGTCCCCAAAGGGATATTTCCTATCGGCCACAAAAAGAGCTAACAAGCCAGGTGTGGAGGCACATGCCTTTAATCCCAGCACTCAGGAGGCAGAGGCAGGTGGATCTCTGTGAGATTGAGGCCAGCCTGGGGCCAGTTGGGGCTACAGGGAGACCCTATCTCAAAAAAACCTCAAAAACAAACAGCGAAAGGAGCTAACAACCTGGCCTTCCCTTACAGACCTGGGGGCTGTGGCCGTTGGTGAACTTCATGAGAACGTTACTCTGCACTGTGGCAACGTCTCCAGACCCAGGGGCCTGGTGACTTGGTACCGGAATGACTCAGAGCCTGTCTTCCTGCTGTCCTCCAATGCTAGCCTCCTGCCCACTGCACCTCGCTTCTCTCTAGAGGATGCCGGCGCCCTGCACATCCAGGCACTGAGCCTGGAAGATGAGGGCAACTACACCTGCCAGGAGGTTCTGAATGAGACGCGCTGGTTCCTGGTGTGGCTGCGTGTGGCCAGTAAGTGGGGCTGGTAGAGGGGTGGGGGGGTTAATGAGTCTGTGAGAGCCCGGGATAGATAGAAAGTCAGGTTCAGGAACCTGGACTTTGATAACACGGCAATAATTTCAGTCTGGGCTCTGTCACTTGTACACCATGTCACTTTTTCTCACCTGTAAAATGGGGCTGTAAAGAATTCCTGCACCATAGAATTGGGCAGAGACTGTAGCTCCATCAGTAGAGTGCTTGCCTAATTAATATACATGAAGCTGTGGGTTCATTCCTAGCACTGCACACACCAGATGTGGTAGTGTATGTCTGTCATCCCAGCACTTGGAGATGGAGGCAGGAGGACCAGAAGTTTGAGGTCATCCTCAGCCACATAGCAAGTTGGAGGCTTGTCTGGGCTACATGAGACCCTGTCTCAAAAAGAAAAAAGGGGTCAGTGAGATGGCTCAGTAGGTAAAGGTGCTTTCCACCAAGCCTGACAACTTGAGTTTGATTCCCCAGGACCTACATGGTAGAAGGAGAGAACTGAGAACCAAAACTGAAAGTTGTCCTCTGACTTCTAAACATGTACTGTGACAAATGTGCACCCCCCCAACAAATAAATAATAAATTAAAAAAAAAGCAAATAATGGGTGTTGTCTAGAAAATACTTGGAAGGGCTCCTGGTGTACAGTTAGCTGATATTTTTAGGTTATTACTAATACCACCTTCCTGTTCAGATCATTTTGTAACGTAGTCAAGTCAGATAGCCTGGTTGATGGTCTAAAAGTTTCCACTTAGACCTGTGTCACCTTGGGTAAGTGCCTTAGTCTCCAGCTTGGTCTCTCTTATTCATCAATTGGGGATAATATACTGGTGCCTTGTCAGGTAGAGTGAAGGTTCATTGGCTATGGTGCGGGGTGCTTGGCTTGGCACAGTCCACCCTTACTGCATTTCCCTAAACCAATCTGTTCTGTTTGCTGACAGATGGCTATGAATTTCCAGTGTGAGTTTGTAAAATGCCATGTACCGCCACATCTGGTCAGCCACTGAGAGTGCACAGGGGCACTGAAATGGCCTGCAAGTTATGGGTATTTGGTATTTTTTTTGTATGTAAAGATTTATTTATTTATTTATTTATTTATTTATTTATTATTTGTTTACTTATTTTTATTTTTTTGAGACAGGGTCTCCCTGTAGCCCCAATTGGCCTGGACCTCACTATGTAGACCAAACTGGCCTTGAACTCACAGAGATCTGCCTACCTCTGTCTCCCAAGTGCTGGGACTTCGGCCTGTGCCACCATGCCTGGCTCAGATTTATTTTTATTTTATGTATTTGGCTGCATGTATGTATGTGTACCATGTGCATGCCTGGTGCCTGCAGAGGCTAGAAGAGGGTGCTGGATTCCTGTGGAACCAAAGTTACAAGCAGTTGTGCACTGCCATGTGGGTGTTGGGAACCAAACCTGAATTCTCTGCAAAAGCAGCCAGTGCTCTGAACTGCTGAGACAGTTCTCCAGCCCCAAGGGTATTTGTTACTTTTATTGAAAAATAAAAGTTGAAAAATTGGCTGGAGATTTAGCTCAGTTGGTAGAGTCTGCTTAGTATGCAGGAAGCCCTGTAGCACCCTATAAACCAGCACTATTATCCTAGCACTTAAAAGTCAGAGGCAGGAGGATCAGGAGTTAGGTAGGGTACAGCCTCAGCAACATAATGAGTTGGAGGTCGGCCTTGGCTACATGAGGCCCTGTCTCAAAAAACAAAAAATCGAGAGCACTTAACTCTAAGGCCCACATGCCTGGCCTCTGTTCTGGGTCCTGTTGGCTGCTGTCTTTGTGACCTTGGAAAGGTCCCCTCAGCAGCTCCAGCCTCAGATTTATCATCTGTGAAGTTCAGGGTCATGGCAGAGCCTCGTTGCTGATTTGATGAGGTCACTTGGCACAGTGTAGCCCATAGCCTGACCTTGGCTGTGCTACTGGGATCTGCTGGTTAGGCAGGTGACTAACTTCCTGTGGGAAAAAGCATCTCATGGTCCCAACAGTTAGGGTGGGTCTTTTCCGCCTCCCTCCTTTTCTTCTTCCCTTCCTTCCCATGTCTCTCTGTTCTCGTCCCTCTTTGTTTTTGTTTTTGTTTTTTGAGACGAGATATCATTATGTCGACTAGGCTGGCCCTTGGACTTGGGGGGCGGTAGGGAGTAGCTTAGTGGTTGAGTGCTTGTTAGCATGTGTGAGACTCTGGGTTTTGATCTCTATTCTCAGGAAGGAAAGAAGAAAGGGAGGGAGGGAAAGAGAGAGAAAGGGAAAGGGGAAGAAAACAGAAATGACTTGAATTTTGCTTGTTAGCCCAGAACTCTGGAGGTGGAGGCAGGACAATCATGAGTTCAAAGTCATCCTTGGCTACAGAGCAAGTTGGGAGACTAGACCCTGTCTCAGAAAACCAAAACACCAAACAAACCAAAAACCTGCCTTCTAGCAATTCTCTTGCTCCCCTGGTGCTCAAGTGCTGGGATCACAGGCCTGTATTACCACACCAGTTTCCTTCTCGGCCTTTTGAATAGGACTCAGTGTGAGTTGTGTCCTGTGCCCCTGCCCGTCCCCCCTGCCCTGCCCTTTTCTTTCCCTGTCTTTTCACCCAAATGTTGATAACTTGGTCACATGTCCTCTTTCTCTTAAGGAGAAAAGTTTGGGAGCATTCTGACTCGGCCTCAGGAGCTTGGAGGAAAATCCCAAGCTGCGGCAAGCTCTTATCTGCCACTCTTCCTGGTCCTTCATACATAGTACCTTCTTCATAGTGCTTCTTACACAGTATCATCTCTTAGGCATTTGGGGAGCTGAATGATGAAGCCAAAGACCAGTTTATGAAAGACTCCAGTCAGATTCCATGACACATGGGCCCAGGCTTAACCCTGAATCTGTTTCTCTAACCAGGGAATTACTGTGGGGACACTGGGGCCTGTTGGCACAAGGTCATTGAGTACACTGGCTTGTATCAGCCACTGAGGGCTCCTTGGCAGTAGCTGGGCTGGGTGTCGAGGGGGATCCTTTAGCATCCTATCTCTTGTCTCACCGAACTTCCAGCAAAGAAACATCCATCTGTTCCAGCACATCCGTTTTGTGTTTTTAAAAATATTGTTTTATTATTGCCGGGCATGGTGGCGCACGCCTTTAATCCCAGCACTCAGGAGGCAGAGGCAGGCAGATCTCCGTGAGTTCAAGGCCAGCCTGGTCTACATAGTGAGTTCTGGGACAGCTGGGGCTACAGGGAGACCCTGTCTCAAAAAGACCAAAAAAAAAATTATTTTATGTGTATGAGTGTATTGCCTGAGTGTGTGTAAATGTACCTGTGTGCAGTGCTTTTGGAGGTCAGAAGAGGGTTTTGGATCACCTGGTACTAAAATTACAGATGGTTGTTAGCCACCATGTGGGTGCTAAGAATCAAACCCGGGTCTTCTGCAAGAGCTGTCATCACTTTTAACTGCTGAGCCATCTTTCTAGCCCCCTTGGTTTTATTTATTAATTTTAATTTTTTATTTTTTAGACAGGGCATCCTGTAGCCCCAGCTGGCCTGGAACTCACTATGTAGACCAGGCTGGTCTTAATCTCACAGAGATCTGCCTGAAGCAGTTCTCTTACTTTTGTGTTACTATACTGGTTGGCAGGCCCACAAGCTTCCAAGTGATTCTCCTGTCTCTGCCTCCCATCTTGCTGTATGTGTGCTGAGAGATGTGTCCTGCCACATCTGGCTCTTTACATGGGTTCTAGGAATTGAACTTGATTTGTCAGGTTTGAAAGGCTAGTGCCTTTACCTGCTGAGCCATCTCCCCAGCCCTGATTTTTTTCTTTATAATGTTCCAGTCTCCTTTCCAGTGATTATCTGGAACCCCCGTTGTACTGGTTTTTGGGGGTTAACACTGGATGACCAGATATATCTGATCTGAGTCACATTCCTTTTGCCAGCCAGCCTGGGTATTGACTGCCAGTACCTCAAAGGTACCGTTTAGCTGGAAGCATACCAAAGGCAGGCATGCCCCAGGACCTGTTGGGCCACATACCTAACAGACTAGCCAGCAGCGGCACCTCTCAAACCACCATCTAGTTCCTGCCAGAGCCTTGGAGAGGTAACATGGTTCCTGCAGTTCCTCACATTGCTGGGAGACAGCTCAGCCTGACAAGGATGTTGTCCTGGCCAGGGGTAGGCTGCACACCTGCAATCCCAGCACTTGGGAGGCTGATGCAGGAGGATCTCAAGTTTGAGGACACTCTGAGCTATACAGTGAGGGCCTAGGTGGAAGGTATTTGCACTGAAAAGCTGTGTATGAAACCCTTTGCATCTGACAGCTGATTCCCCATCCCCCACCCCCCCCACCCCACGGACCAGTTTCTGAACTAAATTATGTAGCCATAGATTTATTTCTTTGCCAAAGCTTTGACCTTCCTGGATTCTTTTCTAAAAGAGGAATCTCTGAAGGGAGGCAGCACATTGAATTATATTAGACTGAACAGCCATTAGATTTATCCTTTATCTAATTAGTTATTTAGTTTTATTTATTTGTTTGGGTCTCACTATGTAGCTTAGGATGCCCACCCAGGACCTTGGTAGGAGAACAATCATGGGCCCGAAGTGTTCAATCTTTTCTGTACAGATAAGCTTTCTACTTGGCTGGGGTTTTTTAATTTATTTTTATTTTAAGTGTATGTTTTGCCTACATGTATGTAAGAGCACCAAGTGCATGCAGTGCATATGGAGGCCAGAAGAGGGTGTTGGATTCCCTGAAACTGGAGTTACAGACAGTTGTTAGCTGCCATGTGGGTGCTGGGAACCAAACCTGGGTCCTTTGCAAGAGCATCCAGTACTCTTAACTATTGAACCATCTCTGCAGCCCCTGTTTTGGTTTTTGGAAACAGTCTCATGCCCAGGCTGGTCTGGAACTCACCTTGTAGCCCAGGTTAGGCTCAGACTTTCCAATTGCTGGGATTAAAGGCATGAGCCACCATGCCAAGCCTCTGCAAAGTTTTTTTTTGTTTGTTTGTTTTTAGGATTTATTTTATTTATAATCATGTGTATATATAAGTGCCATGCCCATGAAGGCAGGAAGGGGACGTTGAGTGCCCTGGAGTTGGAGTTAGAGGTAGTTGTGAGCCACCTGATGTGAGTGCTTGGAACTGAATCTAGGTCCTCTGTGAGAACAGCCAAGCAGCAAGCTTTTTTTTTTTTTTTTTTTGTCTTTTTGATACAGGGTCTCCCTATAGCCCCAACTGGCCTGGAACTCACTGTATAGACCAGGCTGGCCTTGAACTCACAGGGATCCGCCTACGTCTACCTCCGAGTGCTGGGATTAAAGGCATGTGCTACCATGCCCAGTGCAGCAGCAAATACTTTTATACTTTTAACCGCTGAGCCATCTTTCCAGTCCTCTGCTCTCTTCTCTCCTCTCTCTCTCTCTCTGTCTCTCTCTCTCTCTCTGTCTCTCTCTCTCTCTCTCGGTGTTTGTTTTGTTTTTCATCTTTTCTCATTGTAGCCCCAGCTGGCCTGGAACTTGCTATGTAGACCAGGCTGGGCTCAGTCTCAGATACCCACCTGTCTCTGCCTCTTGAGTGTGCTGTGGTTAAAGGTGTTCGCCACCATATGCCTGGCTTCCTCTGCTATTTTTTTTTTTTTTTTTTTTTTTTTACCATGGACAGTTGGATATGGTGGCACATGCCAGCACTTGGGAGGTGGAGGCAGGAGGATTAGAAGTTTATGGTTGAGTTGAGGATGCGGCTCAGTTGGTACAGTATTTGCTTAGCATGCATGAAACCCTGGATTTGATGATCCTCAGGACCACATAAACCAGGCGTGGTATCATATGTCTATAATCCCAGCACTCTGGTGGTGGAGGCAGAAGGATCATAAATTTAAGGTCATCCTCAGCTACAAAGAGAATTCAAGGCCAACCTGGGCTACATAAGACCTTGTCTCAAAAAAAAAAAAAAATAGTTCAAGGTCTTCCTCATCTACATTCTGAAATGAAGCCCTGTCTTGAAAACCAGGATACTTAGCACAGCCTTGCCACAGTGAGTGGTCCATAGAGACTGTCTTGTTACCTGGCTCCTGATCATCTGAGGTGCTCAAATGAATGCTATAGCGATTCATACTGTCCCCATCCTCTGCCATTCCCAGGTGGTCCTGACCAGATCCAGGTCAACATCTCAGCCTCAGGCGCCCTCCCCAATGGCACCCTGTATGCGGCCAGGGGCTCCCAGGTGGATTTCAGCTGCGGCAGCACTGCACAGCCTCCGCCCAGGGTGGAGTGGTGGTTCCAGGCCCAGTCCAGACCCGAGTCCTTCGGAAGCAACCTGACGGTCAGCAGCTTCACACTGATACTGATGTCCCAGAACCTCCAAGGCAACTACACCTGCTCAGCCAGGAACGTGCTTAGTGGCAGACAGCGAAAGGTGACCACCGAGCTCCTGGTCTACTGTGCGTAAGAAGCACGGCCCTGCCCCACCTTATCCCTCCATGAACTGCATGTTTGTGAGTCTTCCTTTCATCTTTAAGGCAGGCTTTCTTTTACTTTGCTTGGTGTTCCAGCCCCACCCCCCCATTGTGGCTTTGTAGCATGTTTCAGTGCTCCGTTTCTTTTCATGGCTATATAATACTCCACTGCATGTCTGTGAAACGGGACCTAGCGTGCTTTGTTGGCACCTTCAGTATACATGCACACATCTGAACTGTTGCATGGCAGACAGTGGTCATCCCTCTGGAAGCTTGTTCTTACCTGGGATGCAGGAGAGACCTCTGAGATGGAGAGGTAAAACAAACACCTCATGTATTTGTTTTAAGTAGGGAGAAAGTATATAACACTTTAAAATGTACAACTCAAATGGGTGTGATGGTGCACACCTTTAATCTCAGCACTCAGGAGGCAGAGTCAGGTGGATCTCTGTGAGACTGAGGCCAGCCTGGCCTACATAGTGAGTTCTTGGCCAGTCGGGGCTACACAGTGAGGCACTGTCTCACGAAAACGAAACAAAAATAATGAAACAAAAACAGAAAATCAAAAATTAAAATGTACAACTCAAGTCAGGCATGGTGGCTCATGCCTGTAATCCTAGCACTTGGGAAACTGAGGCAGGAGGCTCACCATGAGTTTGAGACCAGCCTGGGCTACAAAGTTGAATCTTTCTCTAAAAAGCAAAAATGGGTTGTGGAGATAGCCGTTGGTAAAGTGTTTGGTATATTGGCTGAGGAGCTGAGTTTAGTCCCCAGCACCCCTGTAAAAAGCCAAGCATAGCAGGTTACTCCTATAACCCCAGTGCTGGGGAGGTAAAGGTGGGTGACTCTTGGGGCTTGCTGGCCTGCTTGGCAAGCTCCAGGCCAGTAAGAGAACCTGTCCCAAAAAACAAGGGGGCAGCTGGGCCTGGTGGCACTTGGGAGGCAGGGGCAGGTGGATCTCTGTTAGATGGAGGTCAGACTGGTCTATGTAGGGAGTTCTAGGTCAGCTAGGGCTACAGGAAGACTCTATCTCAAAAAAAAAAAATCCCCAAACTACAACAAACCCAAGAGCTCCCAGGCAACAACACCCACATCAGGCCCTCAGCTGCATGTGACCACTGTGTGTCTAGGGACCAAGCACTAGCCAGGAGAACTTTCTGTGGGGACAGAACTACTCTGTTCCATGTGGTCTAACAGGTGCCTCAGCCATCTGTCACCCCTCCCTCTCCCCCCCTCCCTCCCCTCCCCTCCCCTTCTCTTCTCTTCTTTAAAATATTTTGTTTTAGGGACTGGAGAGATGGGTCAGTAGTTAAGAACACTGGCTATTCTTGTAGAGGACCCAGGTAGGTTCAGTTCCCAGCACTCACATGGTAGCTAACAATTGTCAGTAACTCCAGTTCCAGGGGATCCAACACCCTCTTTTGGCCTCTGTGGACACTCCACATGTGGTGCACATACATACATGCAGGCAAAACATACACATAAAATAAAATAAAAATAAAAAATTTAAAGATTTAATTTTGACTCTGTGCATGTGCATCTGCGTGTGTCTTTGCGTGGGTGTGTACACCTGAGTGCAGGTGCCCAAGAAGGCTAAAAGAGGGTATTGGTTCCTCTGGAGCTGTTCCTCACAACAGATGGTTGTGAGGTGGTGGATGTGGTTGTTGGGAACCAAACTCAGGTCCTCTGTGGGAGTAATATGTGCTCTTAAACTGCTGAGCCATCGCTCTAGCTCTGTTAAATTTTTTAAAAATTATTTTTAGAGAGAGAGGTGGGCATATGCTGTGATACAGTGTGTACATGTGGAAGTCAGAAGACAACTCTTTGGATTCTGTTCTCTTTCCACTGTTGGTTTCTTGAGCAATTGGGCTAGCCTGCAGCAAGCACTTACCCACTGAGCCATCTTGCTATCCTTTTTTTTTGAGACAATCTCATATATCCCAGGCTATCCTTGGACTCACTATGTAGCCAAGGATGACCTGACACTTCTGATCCTCCTACTTCTACCTCCCAAGTGCTGCTATATAGGTGTGCACTATTACAACCATTTTATGGCATGCTGGGGTGGAACACAGGGCCTTGTGCATGCTAGGCAAGCGCTGTACCTATTGAGCAAAATCCCTGGCCTACCAGGTGCTTTCTGAAGGTCAACTAGTGGCTAGATCCTAGTTCTCACAGCCATCCTGCCTTCTGACTCTGTCTGCCATGAAGCTATGTTCTGCTGTCTTTTGCAGGGCCCCCTCCATCAGCTCCTCAGTGCTCAGCAGAGGTGTCCTCAGGATCAGCTGCCCTGAAGCTCACCTGTCGCTGGGACGGGGGATACCCTGATCCAAACTTTTTGTGGACTGAGGAACCTGGAGGGATGATTGTGGGGAATTCAGAGCTGGGGACTGAAACACTGAACCAGTCGCAGCTGTCGGACGGGAAGAAGTTCAAGTGCGTAGGGAGCCACATAGTGGGGCCAGAGCCGGGAGCCAGCTGCGTGGTACAGATCTGTGAGTCTGGCTTGCTTTGTCCTGGGGTTGGGGGTTCACCTGCCTGCCTCTCTTCTCAAAGAATCATTTGATAGTTCTGGAAAGAAAGCTCAGTGTACCAGAGTGCCAGGATTCCCTTCCCTCCCTCTCCTGTGCCTCACTTTTCTCTTCAGAGTTTAAAATTGCCTAGCTCAGATTCTTCATTCCGGCAAAGCTCGTTTTCACTCGGCAAACACTAGCCGTGTACCCTGGTCACTATTCGTGGGCAGTGAGCATGACAGACAAGGTTCATCCATTCTTCCTCTCTTATGTAACAGGCGCCCCTGGACTTAGTGGCTCAAAACAAATACCCATTTATCTTGACTTCCGACAGTATGTGCTTGGGATGGTGTGTCTTTCCCCCAGGATGCTGGGGTCTTAGCTGGAAGAGTGGGGAGTTGGGGCACTGGAATCGTGGAAGGGTACACTTGGGAGATGCTCACTTATGGGCCTGGCAACTCACCACGGGGCTGCCTGTGTGTCCTCCCCATGTAGTGACCTGCTTCCCATAAAGCCAAGAGGGATAAGTGATCCTTTGTAGGACCTAGTCTCAGGAGTTGCATGGCCTACCTTCTAGAACATTCTGTGTCTTAGCAGCAAGTCACTAAGTGAAGCCCACATTCAGGGGGCAGCGAGGAGACTTAGTAGGCTTCACTGTTTTTATGTTTTTTCAGTGCTGGGGTTGAAACCCAAGACCTCACACATACTAGGGTATCACTCTACCACTGTGTTATACCCCTAGCCCAAGAACCTGTCTCTTAGAAATAAAAATAAGGAAAAATAGGGCCGAGGGTGTAGCTCAGTGGTTGCACTGTCTGCTTAGCATGACTGAAGCCATGGGTCCCATATACTCACCAAAAGAAAGACTTGTAATGCTGAGTTTGGTCATGAGTTCCTGGACTCAGTCGATCTTCTTGCCTCAGCCTCCCAAATGGTGGCACCACAGACATGTGCTGCCACGCCTGGCTGCAGATCTATACACTGAAGAACACAGCTTACCTTGGGAGAAGCGACACCTTTGCTGGCCCAGTGTGCACAGGCCCCTGCATCCATCCATCTCTTGTGGCTCTCTGAGGGCCCCACCTCTTCTACAGTTCTCTCCCGATCACCTTGCCCACTGCATCCTCCCAGCTAAACTCTGATGGATAGATCCCATACTGGCTAAGTGTGGGTGACAGTTTTAAGGGTGAGCACTCTGCTCATAAAGTGTTATCTATGGTACATGTTTGGAGGCTGGGGAGATATCTCCAAGGGGCTTGTTTAAGGACAAAGGAGCCATTTCTGAAACATAGGTTTGTGTCCCAGAATCTCAAGGTTACCAATAAGGCTCATCCTTGCTGTTGGGTCGATGACTCCTAAGGAGATCTATATTCTCCACAGAGAGGGACAGGCACAATTTTGCTACAAGAAAGGAACCACTATTGATAGCTGGAGTTTCCCAAGCTGCCCCAGGCTTAGGTATTTCTGTCGACCTGACCTTACCAACAAACTTGGAGGTTATTTCAAGCCCCAGGGCCCCTTTCCCCCGTCCTTTCCCTGTCCCTCTTCCCAGGGTGCCAGGTCTGACCCTGGCTTCTCCTTTAGGACAGTTGCCAAGGGAAAGCATGGTTTTGCCCTACCAGGCAGGGGCCCAGCAAGCCTCTCTGTTGCTCAGGTGCCACAACCTGGACTTCATAAATCCCTCACAGCGACTTCCTTGCCCTTCCTAGGAGGGTGTGCATTTGGAAAAAAAAAAAGTGGAAGGCTGTGGTGGCCCTCAAGCTCCCTTCAGCCTGCTCAAGTCAGATTCTGAGATATTGTGACGTGAGCAAATGTCTATTTACCTCAGATAGGGCACCAAAGAAATGATTCCACTCAAGTCTAGTCAGGGAACTAGTGAGTTTACTGGGGTTACTTACAGGAGCATAAGGGGTTGCTTACAGGAGCATGGGTGACTCAAAGGCACTGTGTCCCTGAGGAACCCCACCAACATGGGTGACAACTCATGAAAGCTGCATCCTGGTGCTCCCTGCACAACTTGTTTGCAGCTCCACAGAAGAGTCTGCTTGATCTCGTGACAGTTTCCACTTATATATCCTTGGAAAGAGGCTTTGTGCATCTTATAACGTTCTGAGCTTCCCAAGTCTTTTTCCCCATGAATCTCCCTGCTCTCTCCTTGAGGGAGTGTTTAATTGGAAGGAGATAGTTCACAAGAAGGCCACAGGTACTCTTCATTGTAAGTTACGTGGGGAAGATCTGCAGTAGACAATAGTGCCCTGCTTCCAGATGCTTATGTCCTGGTCCCTAGAGCCTATGAGTGGTACCCAATGACCAAGGTGACATTGAAAAAGTTAGTCTTGAGATGGAGATGGTATATTCTGGATTATCCTGTGAGTCCTTATAAGAGGCAGGCAGGAGGTTAGAGTCAGCAGGTGATGGAATCACAGGAGGAAGAGATTAGTAATACCAAGAAAGGGACCTAGAGCTAAGGACTGACTACAGGTGGTGTCAAGAAACAGAAAAAGAGGTCTGGAGAGGTGGCTCAGAGGTTAAGAGTATTGGCTGCTCTTGCAGAGGACCTGGGTTCGATTCTCAGTACCTACATGGTGGTTAACAACTGTCCGTAACTCTAGTTCTAGGGAATTCAATGCCCTCTTCTGACCCCCTTGGGCATTGCATGGCATGGTGGGTACACTTAAATACATGCAGACAATACACTCATACACATAAAATAAAAATAACAAACCAACCCAAAGGAACCTAGGTATAATGGGGCATCTATAATCTTTGACCTTGAGAGGTGGAGCTGGGAGGATCAAGAGTTCAAGGCCAGGCTCAGATGTGTAGCAAGTTCAGGGGACAGTGTGGGCCACATGAGACCTTGCCAAAGACTCAAACAAAGACATAGAGACAGCTGGGTGTGGAGGCACATGCCTTTAGTCCCAGCACTCCTGAGGCAGAGACAGGCGGATCTCTGTGAGGTCAAGGCCAGCCTGGTCTACATAGTGAGTTCCAGGCCAGCTGGGGCTACAGAAATAACCTGTCTCAAAAAGACCAAAAAAAAAAAAAAAAAAAAAAAAAAAAAAGAGACGGAAACAAACTGAAGACAAGGTAGTTGATCTCCTCAGGAACATCCCAAAGGAATCTGTTTACACCTGGAAGATCATGTTGCACCTCAGAGAATATTACATTAAGTCAGTGAGTTTGTATCAGTGCGACACATTAGCAACAGGAAACAGTTGCCTTGTTCTCTTGAACTCATTTGTTGAACTGCATGTCTATGTTTAACATGGTCATTGTACTTGTTTTATTTATTTGCATATTTATTTGTATGCACGTATGCCACAGTGCACATGTGGTCAGAGGACAACTTTTGGGAATTCATTTTCTTCTTCCACCATGTGGGTCCCAGGGATTGAACTCAGGTCCTCAGGCTTGGCAGCAAGCTATTTTACTGACTGAGCCATCTCATTGGCCCATGTACTTCCTTTACGTAGTTGAATATGGCATAGAGGTAAGATAGTGGGTGACAGAAGCTGATGCTTGGATTCTGGGCTCCACAGTCACTGGCTTATTCAGTTTTACCCAGAGCTTTATTGGTATTAGCGTAGAACACCTCAGATCCCAGGAACCTTTGCAGTTCTGGTCAAACTGGGACAGTGGGTGGCTCTGTGTCCTAGTTCCATCTCTTATTTTCTTGTGTGACTGAGCAAGGTGCTTGGCTTTCCTTGTATCTTAGTTTCCTTCTATGTAGAATGGGGATAATAACATAGTTATTGTGAGAATGTGTTGGGCTCATATACGTAATAGCACTTTACATAGTAAATGTTGGATTTTAATTGGTTGGACAAAGGGTAGCATAGAAGTCCCCAGAGTTAGTTGTTTTGTTAGGAAGGAAATACTTTTCTGGAAGAGCTTGGGTTGTGTGGTTTGAATCTCCCTAAACTTTGCCTTTCTTTACCCTGTTATGGCCACCAGTGAGCCCCTTACTTGCCTCTCACCCCATGAAAACATGCTTCGTTGGAGGCAACGTGACACTCACCTGCCAAGTGTCTGGAGCCAACCCCCCTGCCACGATCCAGTGGCTAAGAAACCTCACCCAGCCGGAGGCGGCCATACAGCCCAGCAGCCACTATCTCATCACCCAGGACAACCAGAGCTCCACACTCACGATCCACAACTGCTCCCAGGCCCTGGATGAGGGCTTCTACTTCTGCCAGGCTAAGAACCTTGTCGGGGTGAGGGCAGTGGACGTCTGGCTAAGTGTGAAAGGTGAGTGAGAGGGGCCCAGTAGGGGGCCAGTCGGGGACCTCCCTATATATGGGCCGTGGTCAGCTGAAGACAGCACATCCATTCACCTGTAGCTTGACAGGGTGGCTGAGGAAAGTAACTTCCAATTCCCAAAGCCCTGACATTTGCAGAGGAAGCAAACAATGACACAATCTGTCTCACATCAAAGAATGTGTATTAGCGAGCGTGGTGGTACATGCCTTTAATCCCAGCACTTGGGAGGCAGAGGCAAGCGGATCTCTGTGAGTTCGAGGCCAGCTGGTCTACACAGTGAGTTCCAGGTCAGATGGGGCTAATTGGAGACCCTGTCTCAAAAAGATAAAAAAAAAAAAAAAACAACAAAAAACAAAGAGAAAGTGTATTAGTCCAGATCTTCATAATAGAATTCAAACTTTGAACAGATGATGGGGAGGCCTGCTTGGAGGAAGTGAGTCACAGGCCTGTGTGCTTGGAGCTGTGTCTCTTTCTGGCCTCTTCCCGTGTTCCTGGATTTGAGCAACTCCACCAGGTCCTCCCTACCAGGATGGAATGAAATCTCTGAAGCAGTGAGCAAAACAAACATTCCCTCTCTTAACTTGTTTCTGTCAGGGATTTGGCTATAGCAAAATACTGATATATGTAACCTGGCCTGGAGGCCCTTCCCAGTCTCATACTGGGCCTGTTGTCAAAGGTATAAACTTTTTTTATTGAAAAATAATTTCATGCCAGGCATGGCAATTTATGCTGATAATCCCAGCACCTGATAAGGGAGTGCTGAGAATTTGAGGCCAGCCTTGGCTATCTAGAGAGTTGCAGGCTAGCTTGGGCTACCAAATGAGGCTGTCTCAAAATAAACAGACAAAGAGTTGGAAGGCAATCTGGGTTGAACAGTTGGAGCATGGGATTTTCCGGGCAGTAGAAATATGGCTACGGGCATGCTATGATGGATGCCTGTCTTTTTACATTTACTGAAGCCCACAGTTGTATGCCGGCAGTGGACTCTAGTTGTGAGCTCTAGACTCCAGTGATTGTGAAGGCCTATTGCTGAAGCCTCATCAGTTGTGAACAAATGTTTTGCTCTAGTGGGACTGTCAGTGGTGGAAAAGGTTGGGTGTGTACAGGGGCAGGATATGTAGGAGCTGTTTATCTTTTCTGCCCTGGTTTCCTATGAAAGTGGCAAAACATGCACTTTTTCTGTGTTTTTAAAAACATTTTTAAAATATATTTTATTTATTATTTTTATGTGTACGAGTGTATTGCCTGCATGTATGTGAGTGCATCCATGTAGTGCAATGCCGCAGAGGTCCGAAGAGGGATTCAGATTCTCTTGGAACTGGAGTTAAGGACGGTTGTTCACAGCTGCCATGTGGGTGTTGGGATTTGAACCTGGGTCCTCTGCAAGAGCAGTCAGTGCTCTTAACCACTGAGCCATCTCTCCAGCCCCTTTTTAAAAATTTTAAAAAGACAGGGTCTCCTCATAGTCCCAGCTGGTCTGGAACTCACTATATAGACCAGACTTGGCTTGATCTCACAGATATCTGCCTGCTTTTGTCTCCCCAGTACTGGGATTAAAGGCATGTGCCACCACACCCAGCAAACCACACTACTTACACACACACACACACACACACACACACACACACACATTTATGATTTGCTTTTATTTTATTTTTTAATTTTATTTATTATTTTTATTTTATGTGTATGTGTGTATTGCCTACATGTGGGTAAGTGCATCTGTGTCGTGCAATGCCCGCAGAGGATGGAAGAAGCCGTCAGATCCCCTGGAACTGGAGTTATGGACAGTTGTTAGCTGCCATGTGGGTGCTGGGATTTGAACCCGGGTCTTCTGCAAGAACAACTAGTGTTCTTAACCGCTGAGCCATCTCTCCAGCCCTTTTATTTTTTTACATTTACTTGTGTGCCTGTGTACATATGTGTCACAGCACATGTATAGTGGTCAGAGGACAACTTGCTGGATTTCCTTTCCTTCAGCCACGTGGGTTATGGGGATTGAACTCAGGTCATCACCTTACAAGCTAAGCCATCTTGCTGACCTGATTTATTTTTTAAAAAAACTTTTATTAGGAGCTGGAGAGATGGCTCAGCGGTTAAGAGCATTGACTGCTCTTGCAGAGGACTCAGGTTCAATTCCCAGCACCCACATGGCGGCTACGAACTGTCCTTAACTCCAGTTTCAGGGGAATCCAAAGCCCTCTTCTGACGTCTGAGGCATTGCATGACACAGGTGCACTCACATACATGCAGGCAATACAATCATACACAAAATAAAAATAATAATTAAAAAAACCTTTTGGTAGTATATGGATATGATGTGTGAGTGTGGCTGTCCACATGCTATAGTGCATGTGTGGATGCCACAGGACAATTTTTGGGAATCACTTCCCTCCTTTCACTGTGTTGTGGGACACTATTCTTGGAGATATGAGACCAATGTCTACTCACCCCAGATGGGGAACAGATCAAAGTAAGGATGCCACCAAAGCCCAGGTTGCTGAACCAATGAGTTTTATGGGGGTTACTTACAGGGGTGTGGGTGAAGGGGTGCTCAACAGGTTGGAGAGTTCTTCTAGGCAGTTTTGCTAGTCTGAGCATCTCTCCCTGGCCTTACTGCTTATGTAAATTTGGGGAGGGAGGGTCATAATGAATCTGGTCAGTTTCAGGGACTTCCTGAAGAGACTGAGTTACTTCCTGAAATTCAAGCACTTCCCCAGGGATGGAATGTTATGTGGGAGGAAATTGCTGCATACCCTCCTGTGTTCTGGGGATTGAACTCAGATCATCAGGCTTGTGCAGCAATCCCTTTTACCCACTGAGCCACTCTTGCTGGCCCTGTGACTTGCATTTTGTTTGTATTTAATTTTTTTTTTTTTTTGTCTTTTTGAGACAGGGTCTCCCTGTAGCCCCAGCTGTCCTGGAGCTTACTATGTAGACCAGGCTGGCCTTGAACTCACAGAGATCTGCCTGCCTCTGCCTTGCGAATGCTGGGATTAAAGGTGTGCGCCACCATGCCCGGCCTAAATTTTGTTATTTTTTAAAAAAATGTTATTTTTATCTTATGTGTATGAGTGTACTGCTTGCATGTATGTGAGTGCACTGGTGTCGTGCAATGCTGCAGAGGTCAGAAGTCGTCTTCGGATTCCCCTAGAACTGGAGTTAAGGATGGTTTGTAGCTACCATGTGGGTGCTGGGAACTGAACCCAGGTCCTCTTCAAGAGCAGTCAATGCTCTTAACTGCTGAGCCATCTCTCCAGCCCCAAATTTTGTTATTTTTATTTTTTATGTGTATGAGTGTATTGCCTGAATGTATGTAAGTGTTCCCGTGTTGTGCAATGCCTGTGAAGGTCAGAAGAGGGTGTCAAATCCCCTGGAACTGGAGTTATGGACAGTTATTAGCTGCCATGTAGGTGCTGGGAACTGAACCCGGGTCCTCTGGAAGAGCAGCCCATGCTCTTAACCACTGAGCCATCTCTCCAGCTCTGTGACTTGCTTTTTCACATTGTTTCTAGAACTGATTTGCACCCATGGGTATAGCTGCTTCATACCTCTTTACTGCTGTATAATTTTCCATGATGTCATCATGGCATGTCTGAGATGCCATTTCCTGCTGTGGATGTCTGTGCTGTTTGATTTTCGTTGCTGTGAGAAGCAGTGTTGCTATGACTGTCTTTACATGTGCACACCACCCCAGGCAGATATTTCTTTAGCCTCTATGGAAGGGCTGCAGGGTACGTGTAGTTTCAGCTTTATACGATAGTAGCAGAGTATCTTCCATACCAGTTCAGTCCCCACCAGCATTTACAAGGGTATGGATTATCTGGGGTTTTCACAGGGGCTTTTTAAGTTTTAAGCCTCCAGTGTGTGAAGAACTGGAATCTCACCGTCTTTCTAATTTTATTCCCCTGATTACTAAGAAGGCTTTGAGCATCATTTCACATTTGCCATTTGTGTTTCTTCTTCTGGGAAATATACATATTTATGCTTTGACAGTTTTCCCACTCAGATATGTTGGAGTTCTTTAGGAATTCCTCATACCAGTTCCTTACTGGCGTTAACATGTTACAAATATCCCTTTTTAGTTTTATGGCTTTTTCACTTTATAATATTCTTTGGTTAACAGATGTTTTGATTTTAATGTAATTGATTTAATGAAGCATTTCATTAGCAACTTTTATGGGTTTTTTTTTGTTTTTGTTTTTGAGACATGGTCTCCCTGTAGCTCCAGCTGGCCTGGAACTCACAATGTAGACCAGGCTAGCCTCAAATTTGACAGAGATCTGCCTGCCTCCTGAGTGCGGGGACTAAAGGTGGGTGCCACCATGCCCAGCTAAGTTTTATGTTTTAAGATATGAAAGTCCTGGATTCAATCCCTGACACCACATACCGGCCATGGTAGCACCTACCTGGAACCAGAGCACTCAGGATGTTGAAGCAGGAGGATCTGAAGTTCAAGGTCATCCTCAGCTGCATAGAGAGTTTGAGGCTAGCTTGGGTTAGAGACCCTGTCTAAAAACAAAAAAGGGGGCTGGTGAGATGGCTCAGTGGTTAAAAACACTGGTTGTTCTTGCAGAAGACCTGGGTTCGAATCCCAGCACCCACATGGCAGCTAACAACTGTCTATAACTCCAGTTCTGGGGATCTGATAGCCTCTTCTGACCTCCGTAGGCATTGCATGACACGGGTGCACTTACCTACATGCAGACAATACACGCATACACTAAAATAATAAATAAAATATTTAAAAACAAAACAAAAAACAAAAAGGGAAAAAAAGACAAAGTTGTGTATACCAGAGCTGCTTCTTAAATGTTTTCCACTCACAACTTCTTTATGTCCAAAACTTTTTACAAGACTCTGCCCTGTATATATAGGTGTAGAAAATAGGACCACAATCAAACATTTACTGATAATAAACTATAAAGAAATTTATTTGAAAACTTTAAAAAAAATACTTTATAGCTGGGCATGGTGGTACACATCTT